TAGCACACGTTTGGTCAAAGGATCGGCTTCACTTGTCTCTTTGACGAGTTGTTGAATGGTGCCAAGAATGTCAATACTCATTGACGATGTCGGCGAAACGTTTGGGAATGTACCACGTCCACAGTTCAAATTTGGAAATGATCATGCAGACAATGGACTCCGGACTAGGTGCGTTCCTCTAAGTCTTCCTACCAATATAACTGTTGCGAAACAAGTTCAAACAACTTCTTTACAACGAAAGGAGACTGCGACCACACTTCCTATGCTCTAGTCTCTTGTGTGCCAACCCACAAATGTTGTGGTGCTACTTGCTTTGCTTAGGTTCAATGTTAAACTATAACATTCGTCGGTTGGTACACAAGAGACTAGGGCATAGGAAGTTATAGACTTGGTATTAGGGATAGAAAAAGGATAGACACGGCGGAGACTGGAGCCATTCGGTTGACAGTAGGCCTGTTTCATCATATACGTGGTTTGTGAAGCAAAGGCTTGACCATGAGACTTACTCAGAGGTTTTAACTTCGAATTAGTCACCTCGACGGAGGTGATGGGTAACAACGCCTCGAGTAACACAGATGGGGTAGCAGGGGTCTAGCGAAATACTTGAACAAGGGAAATAGCAGTCGGATCTAACGGGGCAAGAGGGAGACTCTGGTAAGACCTATGGAAGGAGGATTGCGTAACAATATGGCAGACTGATCCGCATTCCCAGCACTAGGGTGAAGAGAGGTGAGAACGCCAGCGTAGAATGTGGAGGGTTTTCATGAAAGCACCACAACGCTAGATTTATATAAGCAAGGAAAAATTGTGATATTGAAAGTGTTATACGAGGATATAGAACAGGGGATTAGCCCAGGACAGAAGGAGAGATACCACAACTGTTTAGCACACATTTGGTCAAAGGATCGACTTCTTGTTTCTTTGACGAGTTGTAGTATGGTGCTAAGAATAGCAAGACTTACTGATGATGCCGGCTAAACGTATGGGAATATACCACGTTCACAGTCCGACTCAGGAAATGCTCATGCATACAATGGACTCCGGACTAGGTGCGTTCCTATACGTCTTCCTACCAATATGACCAAGTTGTGGAAACAACTTCAAAATTTTCACATTGCTGTTTTATTATATATTATACTTAAGCTGCCCCAAACAAATTAAGAAATCTCCAAATGACCCTTGCATTTCGCCATGCGCACTAGATAAACCTTGTTCCCAAACCCAATCGTGTTCAATCAAGGCTATGCTTCATGATTCCTGAGCGCTTTGACGGCTTAGGTCTGGGCCTCGGGTGTTCTTATGCGTGTGCTCAGTTCCGCAACGATGATTGCACAAGCTTAGCCAGTTGACTTTGAGTATTGGAAAGTTTTGGTGAATATAAGTTTTAGGCTAAAACTTGTTAGACCTATTGTCACCAGCTTATCTATTACTTTATTGGCCAGTTTCTATAGGATAGAAAGTAAACAAATTTAATATATTTCGATTTTTATCCATTGTCAGATTGATATCCAGCTCTCTCCGGCTCTTACAAATCTGCCCGGCTCGGTCACCGCCGTTTCCGGCGATTCCGCTATTGCCAGCACTAACGGTTACCTGGGGGGGGCTAGTAATATTGGTTCGCCACCTTGGGTTAGTCTGTCTTCCGGCATGTCGGCCTGCCTGCCGTCCAGCGTGATGGGAGTGGCCTCTGCTCCCAATGAACTGGCTTCCGTATCAACCAGCAATTCACCTCTATCTGGATTCGGGCAAATACAGCACCAACAGTTACAGCAGCAGCTTCAAGTACAGCATGCCAACCCACCGGTGACTCCAGAAATTCAGGTCTACAAAAAACGCTATGGCTCTGAGATCCTATGTGCCGCTATGTGGGGAGTAAACCTTCTTTTAGGACTAGACACTGGTTTATCTCTTCTTGATCGAAGTGGCGAAGGAAAAGGTATTTTGCTCTTCTTTATGGCCTGAGCAAATTGCTTAAATAGTACTATTTTATTTGAATGAGGATTGCAGAAGTGCTTTCTACATTCATTTATTAAAGTATAGTAGAATAAGAAAATAATATATTCTGAAAACGCGGATTTATAATGATCGCCTTAGGTTATTAGTTTCTTCAGACCTCTCAACTTGTTTATGGAAATTTTTTGGAAACAATTATTAGATTGGACTCGCTCGAAACCGAAGGACAATTGATGTAGAGTCATGCTTATCGATTTAACATTCAGGCTATCAGCATACGATTACTCCATAGTGAACGTTGCCGTTTAGCTCTTAGACAGTATTTTAAATTTTAATATATTAATAATTAATTTGTTGGTTGGTTTTTATTCTATTTATTCAATTATCTTCCTAGCTCTGTTTTTGTGAGATTTTGAACAAGAAGGTCTTTTCACTCCAACGAATCTTTTATTCGGCAGGTTGCAAACCAACACCAGCTTATCGGCGTTGGAGTACAGTGAATCATTGACCATTGTAATCAAACTGATCCGTACTACTTCAAAGCAATCTTCCTTCCGTGTCCCGTTAGGCCAATTCGAATTCCAAACTAACCTCATTGAAACGCCAATGTTTTTGCGAGCTAAAGAAATTTACTGCTTTATTTCTATGTAAGAACTTAATTAGCCTAGGTCGCTTATAGTGATG